AATGATTCATGACTTTCACTAGACCTGGGTGAGCATGCTGCCGATGTTGGCAACCTCTTGATGATATAAGTCTTGCAGGTGCACACCAAAATCATAAAAATGGGGACCGAGTTTGTGCAAGTTCACAATGGATGCATCAGCTGCCATGACATCCCTGTGAGATCAAGCAGAGGATATTCAATAAAGGTTCATCTGAATCATAATGGGCATTTCATCAAAAAATATTTTTTGTAGGTTAAGTACTACATGTTAATACAGATTCTGTGAGGACCTTTTGAAAAAAGTATACCTATTGTTCTGTGTTGACTTTCTCGACATAACAACTATTCTAGTAGGCAATGACAGTAAGAATAACCTATGAACTTTTATCAAGTTTTTCATCAAAGGATCTATAAAAACACATGCACAGGATGGGACTGGTTGTAGTTAAGTTTAATGTAGAAACAGGTTACTTTTGGTCTGCCTTAAGTTTGAAATAAGCTAACTGCATGTAAAGGAATAACATCCAGACTTCATAATGTGCCTGTGGAACCCTCAACAGAAGCAGTTGGCTTTTGGTGTTCTGGCAATTCCCTTCCAGCCTTTAAATCTCATAGATCCATTTCTGCAAAGCATGTACACTACAAAGGGGAGCAAGGTCAGGGTTCACTACTGGGTTTATGAAATGCCACACATGGCATCCACACACACATAGTCCACTTACTCCATGCCCTAGCCATGGGATTTACCCTTACTGTGCTTTTATGTACCCTTCTCTTCTTTGTTCTCACTACTGAGGGAAGGACCATAATGTAAAAAGGTTAGTCCTGCCCACTCTTGATGCCTCCCATGTTCTCAAGCTTGACATGATGACATGGGGGAAATAAAGCAGAAAAATGTATAATACTGATCTTCAATAGTTCTTGCAACAGTTTTCAAGTAGGGGGAATTTGTCTGTTGAACTTAATGGGACTTCAGCTGCTGATTGTCTTATTGCTAAAGAGTCATCTCTAACCTGTAGCTTTCCTTGTAGGCCTTTGGAAGGTCAACAGATACAATAGGCCGCCTCCGATTAGTCAGGGCTTGAGCCATCCAGAATGGAAGGTCTAACTTGGTCCCAGGTTTCAAGTCTGGTAGGTGGCTGGTTGTGTTCAAGAAACCTGGAAAAACAGGGCAAAAAGGAAATGCATCAAAACTTGGCAAACAAATAGTCTTCTAGTCTGAAAGAGAAGCAATATCTAAGTAGGAAACTTATTCTGAAGCTAAGACAAGATTGAGGAAAAACATTCTACTTAGCATACTATGAAACCAACATTGGAGTTTCCAGGTGTTTCATTTTTGATCTCACATTGGAAGCACTACAAATTGTTTCTCCTGAAAATTATGCATCTTGGCCTTCTAAATCAAAATAAATTCAGAGTGAAGTTAAGGAATATAACTTTATGCCAGTACTGTTCAAATGACTTGGCTCCTTTTATGCCATTAGGGCTGTTTTTCATGCTATGTCTTCTCATGGTATTCTTCATTGTGTAGTGTCTTCAGGATGAAGGTAAGATGGCATGGCCTGATTATGATGGTGCGTTGAGATTATAATGATGGAGAAGAAAGGAAAATAAAGGTAATTGTCCATGAAATCATGGACTCTTATTGACTCTATTCCCTCTTGGCTTCTTTTAATAATTCAATTTTAATGCAGTAAAGTTTCCTTTCACAGATATGGCAATATGACATGCACAATCATGAGCATTGCAATAAGTAGGTAACCATAGGCAGACTTTCTGGGGGGGGGAAAAAAAAAAGGGACAAACCTGTAGAGCATTGCTGAAACATGGAGAATAGGAAATTGGTGGGAACATTTTAAATCTGCATTGACCAAAATATAAAAAAAGAACAAAAATATAAATAGAACCATCATTATCTTTGAACAAATGAATTAAATAAAGCAATCCTACATCAACACTTTCACAGCCAAACTGATTTTACTGCATCATTCTGGCATGCCGTGTCAATCAAGAAAGACCAACACTGTTGGAAGTGTTAATACAAACCAACGGAAACGAAAACGAAAGCCCGATTTCCTGATTGGCAAAAATGAGCAGAGACATCCACCTTAAGTGTTCACCCACCAAGTCGAAGGCAGGGGAGCTCAAACTTGCACTGAACCCTTCGTTCAGTTGCAAGGATGTCATGCAAGGAAAGATATTCATCCAAGTCTTCGGTCGTGTCGAGACGCAAGAAGTTTGACGAGTTTCCAGCCATCCTCTTCTGCTGCTGACATCAGAGTGGAGAAACAAGCCTGAGAGAAAATGCCAATAGCCCATTAATGGAATGGTGCAGACCATAAAGGCACTGAATGTCAGCAATATTAATCTATCATAATTATTTATGTGCTTTTGAAGTATTTGCACTATTTAATGCCTCCACGAATCCAGACTTGCAACAAACTCTAACATAACTGTTGCATCATCAAAGTTCAGCACATTACAATATATTCATGAATTAGAAAATTAGCTGTAACCCAAATGGTGAATGTCACTTGCAATGACTTAACAAATGCTTACATTTTGAAATTTCTAGTCAACAACAGCAAAAAATAAAGTGAAATAGTATATGCAATAATTAGTGCATATGTATAAGTGTAGCAATATAAATTAGAAAATCCCTGAAATCTACAAGCAATTCATGCAAACATGAATATTTAAGCTCTTCAGCCCAAAATGAGGCCAACTTGGGTTTAGGCCCAAGCATGCTCCAAAATCTCATCAGCATTGAGAATATTTTGACAAATAATATTTCTCTTTAGGAATACATTGCTATAGGGAAATGTAGCAAATGCATCCAAATTGACAGGAGGTGAAGAACAACTTCACAATGAAGCATGACTCACGGAAATAGAAGGGCTTCAGAAGTCAACGTACAATACCTACAAGAACCAATATATTTATTTCACTTTTGGCATTAAATAACTCACTATCTCACAGATTGATTCATGTGAGAAATATGAAAATATAAATATGCTCACAATGACAATATATCATGTGACACCAGGTGCTTAAGTACCTGTCACTCCATGCACTTGGAAACCAAAGAGCAAGTGGGTATGGAAAAAAATCCAAAAAACTTGGCACATGAGGCTGAAAGCCTAGTTCCAGCTCATATTTCCTGATTTATAAAATTTAGTATCACTGCTATAGTGCACTGATGTCCCATCTTTTATTATATCAAAGTGTGATCATCACAGCTGGATTTTTTCATGGACAGCTTAAGGATCACATATCATGCATCAAATGTACCACAATGAAAAGCTAAAAAAATTTACAATAAAAAAAGACTGACACAAGCAACATTAAGGAATGAAACATTTCATAGACCTACAATGACAACGGAGGAAAATAGAATCCATCAAATACAAGATTTTGACAATCATCAGTGCCACACAATGAAATTACTTTTGAGCTTTGGACACCAAGGCATCAATCATGGAGTTCAACTCCTCAATCAGCTTATCTTTTTCCTGAATTTCCTCCTCGCCTGCAGCAATTTTTGCTTCAGTTTCCCTCAGAGCAGACTCCAATACATTCACTTCCTTTTCCCTTGTGGCAGTTACTTTACCCATTTCCTCTGCCACTGATGCCAACACCTCGGTCCCTTTCTCCCGGAGCTTCTCGTACTTCTCATTTCCCTTTTCCAGGCGCTCTGAGGACTCTGAGATGGCAGACTCCAGGATGGTGACATTCTTCTTCAGGGCAGACACAAATGCCTTTTTTTGCTCATACTTCTTGTGCACATCATTGAAAGCAGCTTCAGTTTGCTTCAGGTCTTCTACTGCTCGATCCTGCTCTTTCATGGCTTGCAATTCCTTTGCCTGATTCTCCTGGACAACCCTATCCTTCTCTTTTGCAATCTCCTCCATGGTTTGTTGATATTCCTGGATCATGTGGGCACTTCTCTGAAGAATGATATCTTCCTCAGCAATCTGCTGCTCAATTGCAGCCTTTTCCGCCTTGTTTCGGGCATTCATCCAAGCAATTTCTTCATCTAGGAGTGCAATCTTCTTATTTCTCTGCATGAGCTTCTCCTGATAAACCAAGTCTTGACTCCTGATAGTCAAGGAGTGATACATAATACTATCACTGCTGTGACGGGATGGAGAGAAGGGTACCTCAAGTGATGCTGCTTCCTCTTGTGCAGATCCATGACTCCTTCTTTTTATCAGTTTCAATGGAGAAAATTCATCAAACTTCAGTAGATCCTGTTCTTTGGCTTTCACAGAAGAAAGCCTGTTCATCACTGACTCACGTCGAGCTATGAGGGGATCAAAGTCTTGGAGGATTGTCAGATCAGCAGGTTCACGAAGAACATCAGAGCCTGGTTTCATCAATGTTTTGGAACCAAAATCTTCATCAAACCCGCTTACTAGTTCATTAGACTCTGAAAATCCTTCAATAGTAGTTTCTGGGTGCATCCTTTCAATCTCTTCTGCCTCAATTGAGTTGCTAAGAGGAGGCTCTGAAGATACACCAGAGAGTGAACTTTGCAAGGGGAAAGCTTCTTGAGGTCCAACATTTTCTATTTTTTCTGGAGTAAAGCCAAGGCTGATGTTGAAATCACTCCCATGTCTAGATATGTCCTCCTCGGCATTTACTGAGTTGAGATGATCTGACTCTGCATCCAGGTCACATTTCAGCAAAGGAGACATGTCAGATTCAGTATGCTGATTTAGGTCAATACAATTGACTGAAGATGGTATCAGATGACTGTCTAGCTCAATGTCATCATTTGGTCCATCTCCTCCTTGGGAATCCAGCCCCATTTCACTTTCTGCAACAGGTCCTCTGAGCTCATGCTTGATGCTGTACTCGGCATCTCTGTACAACTACAGGAAAAAAAATTAAATTCACAAAACCAAAAGAAAACAACAAATGGCAAGACATACAAGAATATCAGCCATCAGTACTCTACAAAGTGCATAAAGAAAACTTTCAAATCATTTTCACTAGTAATGACAGTAAATTTTACCTGATTGACTTAATTTTTTAACACTACATGTAGATAGAAGAAAGAAGGAATGTGCCAAATTTTATAAATTGACACTTTGAATCATGCTCAATACCAGTTCAAACTTGATAGGTAAAAAAGTGAGCTGTACAGCAGGCTTGCTGATGCATTTGCCTCAGCCATGGAAGCTAACATCCTTGGTCATTTTGTATGGCACATACAGGAACCTGCTGCACAATTGCGGTGGATGCATCAGCAAGGAAGGCCAGAGCAATTTCTTAACCAATGACTTTTAAATGTTGTAGTACATGACAGATTGGGTCAATACCATTGAAATAAGGCAAAAACCTTCTTTCTTCTACCCACATTCAATTCAATATTGGATGAAATGTACTATCATTCCTATAAATAATGAACTGGCAATGGTTTTTTTTATTTAAACACCATGTATTTTATCAATTTTGTGGCATTAATTACAGGAATAACAAAACTAACAATATCCAAGCTTCTCACCCGTTGTCTCATGTAGGGTGTGTCTCTCACGGCCAGCTTTTGAAATATTCCACAAAGAGAGAGGTCAGGATTCCCTGTATGAAAAGGGGAAGCATTCCTTCCAGCTTCTGAGGCTTCATCTTGAGAGACATTTTGTGGAGTTGATGGTGGTGAGCAGTTGGGCTCTGGTGAGGTTGGTTTTCCCCTCCACTTGGGAGTGCTAAAAGTTTTCATGCTAATACTGCATTTTCAAAGGAACCTGATGAAAAATAAGAAAAATTGCAAACACTTTTGCACTTCCTTAACAGCAGGAGTATCAGTAAATTTTATCCATTTCCAGCCACTAGCTGGAAATAATTTTATTTGTTCCTCCATCAAATTCCATGCTGAAATTATTTATTGGTCTCAGAGTGGGTTGAAATTGAATATATTTCTCATGGAAATTTTCTTTTTGCAAAGATAATTTAACTCCAATGATAGTGAATGTCTCACTGACTCAGGAAACAAAGTAAATTGCAGGTCATGAAAAATAATCAACTTTGCTTAGGCTTTCCGATGTACTGTAGAGGGAAGAGTTTTCAAAGGGAAAGATCACATATGGTAGTTATATGTAATTATCAGTGCCTAATAGATTCATATATTTTCATGTATTGAAATATGAGTACACATATATGGGGTCATATATGGTTGAAGTATATGATCATGATCCGTATAAGGATTATTTCTAAATTGATTATAACTGGGCAGCGTATACAATCCATATAAAATAATTCTGTGGTTTGAGCGGTGGGCTCCTGCATATACAGGGTGAGTCAAATGTCACTGGACGACTATGAACAGCTATAACATTGGAAAGGATGGCATTCATTTCCAAGCAGTTTTTTGAACATGGAAGAGCATGTATTTATCAACAAAACAACATGAAAATTTGCCTGAAATACCATTAAGAAATGAGGTGAGCCTGCACAAAGTGAAATGCAACATTTTTTCAACATAAAAGTGAGGTTTAGGGTGCAACAGATGCCCTATTCATGATTATCTGTTAATTTTTATGGCTCCAAAGGGTATTCTGATAATGTAGTTGAACTTTCTTTGGAGGAATGTGCAGCCAACATTAACTTATTCTCCATCTGTGAAGGAAGTCTTTCCAAAGTGAAGTGTCATATTGCTTGGAAGACAGGTGGATAGGCTGGGTCAGGCCAATCAAGCAGCCTCCCAGGTTGCCAGACCTGACTCCACTTGACTTCTGACTGGGTTTCATTTAAAGACCGGGTACAACCCAAAAATTTGTCTACAATCATTGAACTGAAGCAATGCATCATTGAGAATAATGCTGGAGTTGTCTTTCAAGCTTGATGATGCTCAATATCATGGTCAGTAATTACAGTCGTTTTTACACCAAATAAATAAATCATTCCTTTTTCAACATGGCATATTTGTTAATTATTGCATGCTCTTTCCTATGCAAAAAGTCATTTGCGAATTAATGCCTTCCTTGCAGAGTTATAGTTGTTCAAAGTTGTTCAGTGACTTTTGACTCACCCTGTATGATGTACCTGGTTCTAATGTGATTTTCATGGAGGACTTTTTATTTATTGCATATACAAATTCAGTGAGCATGCATTCAGAACAAAAATATATATACTGTATATCACTAGAAACATATATATCCCATGTGCATAAGGTATAGTATACAATTTATATGGTATGGTCATACCCTCACAGCATGGTGACATCCCAGGGATGTCCCAAGACCTTTATGGGATATTTTAAGGATATCTTCAGTCAGATGGTTCCTGACATCTTGAATAGGATGTCTTCAAGACATCTACAGATGTATTTGAGACATCTTCAGTTGAAGAATACCATAGAGAACAGCCCTTTAATAACAAACGATTTTCTAGTATGGCATGAAATGAGCCTGTTTCAGAAAGGCACTCACATATTTTCATATTGCTGATAAGTCCCTATTAATTATCTCAGGGACTTAATCTTTGAACATGATTTCACATATGTTTCATATCTCTTATCAGGTGTGACACATGCTCCACTATGCACTAGATATACATATTAAGTCATACCAGTATCATCTGCCCTCCATATCTTTTACATACATGGTTTCTATAAAATTGTTATATGACCTTGCCATATATGATCACATACACATTGCTTTAATATGAACGCATGATCATATATCTTATATATGCCCATTCCTCTTATCATCAAATATGACTTTTTCACATGGGTGTAGTTGGTCTGTTCATATGACCATGGGTTATGCTAAGGCTATAACACTGTCCTCCAGTGCCATCCATTCATGCAAATGGAAATGAAAGCTATGACAGGGGGGCTATGATGATTAGTCATAAGACTCCCCTAAGAGGGAAGGTTTCCCTATAGCTCAACTTTAATGGATAGAAGGCCAGCAAAGGGAGGTATGGTGGAGACTTTGAAATTATGAGAATTAGGCAGAATGGAGAAGAGAGAGCTCATTTTCATAGATCTTTATCCCATGAAAAGCAAGTGCTGATACTCTACAGGGTTGGCCAAAATGAAGTAAGCCACTTTTAACTTGGCTATGAAATTCCTATTTTTGAATAGATTGACTTGAAAATTTAAATGAACATAGTATATATGTTCTTGAAGTGCTGTTGAAGTTTCATGTGTGTATGACCATTCACTCTTGAGTTATGGCAGATTTTGTCAAAATTGTCAAAATTCAGAGTGACCAGGCATGTGACTGTTGCTGTGAGGCATGAATCCACATTTACTTCTGGTTTTAAACAAAATATGTTTCTCTGGACATAGTGTGATGAAAAACTTAACAGGATGTTATCAAATGTTTGATAACATCCTGTCCAACATTGGATGTTTGATTTTCACCACAAGAAAAATGTTATATATGAGTATAAATTTGCAGGCATTCCCATGCAAATGTGTATGTGTGCCTCACAACAGCAATTTCATTCCTCTTTACTTAGAAATGTGACCATTTTTACTAAATCTGCCTAAACTCAAGAGTGGGTGGTCAAAGGTGGATGCAACTTCAACATCTCTTCCAGAACACATTAGACAACATTTTCAAGTGAATCCATTTGAAAATATGGATTTCATAACAATTTTAAGCATTTTTTGGCCAACCAAGTAGTTATGGGAGAAGCCAACAGAGATTCACTAATATACTTTGAAAATGCTCATATAGAATGCTTTTTGATGCAACAGGAGCTGCAAAACTGGTTCCTTCAACATGAAAACAAAGAATATATATTTACGTATTTACTCAATTTGCATTATTCTTCAGAGGCACTGTCATGGGAGTTCGGAGCGTCTTTCGTGCTTTTACCTGGATATTTGAATGAGCCAACTTCGAGCAATTATATGCTTAACGTTGAGCCTAGGCTCTTAAAGGCTAGGCCTAATGTAGGCGTAAGACATAGCCTGGTATAGGCTGAGACCTTGAAACTATCTCCCTCTCAGGCTCCCTTTACGCTCAGACCAACGAATCGAATGAACGTGCTTCGACCCTAGCCGATGAAGAGACTATCATGGCAACACGCAAGAGAAAATGCAGATTATTGGTTATTCATCGCAGATGACTCGGTCACGAGCACACAAGCTTCACATAGCGCGCGGGATCGGAGATGCAACATGCCGCCGTTAGACACGATAACGGAATAGCTGCGCTGACACTGCTTTGGAAAGCCTGTATGAGCCAAGTGCAGATGGAGTTGAATGTCAGCGCCTGGTCGGAGCTCGCGATCTCAAAAGGTTTCAAGTCTTTATTTCCTTGCGCAAGGCCATGTTCACGCCAGAAAGTTTTATTTGCAAGGCGACATGCAATGAAAACTTTCGTGGCGAGGACGTCGTTCAAAGTTTCATATTCATGAAGAGTTTCAATGCTTTCGGAAATTACTACGAAAGTTTTACTGTAAAAATATTTCTCTTGCAATATTCATTCATAATATATGCAAGAATACTTTCTGGTCTAAACGAGGTCTTAGTGCTTCACTTCTTGGGGAAGTAAAGGGTTAGAAAGAAACAACAGAATAAAAAGGAACACAAGAAAAGAAGTGAAACAAAAATACAATTCATGAAGATCCATTGCTACAATAAGTAAAAGATCGTAATTGAGGTGGAAGACGAAGAAGTATATTTGAAATGCAAGTAAAAGACGCACAGAGGAAAAAAGAAAAACCGGAAGGAAGAGAGCCTGCATTTACAACTTGCATACCTCGGCCCCATTCGTCTTGAGGCAATTCCCGCATGTGAGCGCACGTGGGAGCGGTGCCAGGAGAGATCCTATCCCATGAAGTAGCATGAATGGATCGGGCCGGAGATCCTTGGATTTCATCCAGAGTGTTTTTTTCTTCCCTCGATGTCAGCTTCTGCCTCGTCTAATGAGGAGATAAGGCAGCTGGCTCTTCCACCGTTCGGCGAGATTACCCAGCTGGTGTTTCCCAGGGTTAGGCCAGATCAGCTAACAGACTCGGATTTTTGTCGATCGACATAGGCTTATCATTGGTTTAAGCTGGGACATAGCCAAGGCCTACGTCTATGATAGGCCTTCCGTTCGGCATTAATCAGCCCGTGAAAACAACCCTGGCCTTGACCTAAGCCTAGGCATAGGTATAAAGTCACTCAACCAATCTCTTTATACTTCAACTTGGATATTTTGTGATTTGCTGTTAGGAATTAGCTAAGGTCTATGTAATCTGAGATCCCCTGCCAATAGGCCTATTCCTGCTGGCTCTTTTTTATTCATGTCAAGGAGAAACAAGCCATAAATCAAATGATTTGGCCTCTGAGGAGATGGTGGTTGGAGGAAGTCTCTGTACCTTATATTTTATGCAGTTGCATACATTAGCATGTGGCATTTGATGGAAGGTGCACTGATAGGCTGACTGTTGTGCAGGAATGAGGAATCCCATTCGCTCTGTGCTTCACCTTTCCATCCATTCCATGTGCCTCTCTATGGTCTAGATGATGGACTGAATTATTTTTAAGATTAATTTTTTTGGTACTAATTCATCACAAGCTGAGTATTTTCTTAGTGTTAATTAAAATCACTCTTTATTGGGTGTGTATGGGTTAGTCTGGTACCCATGAAAGTATCATGATGCCATTCAGTAAGGATTGACCATAAGGAGAGCTGCTGGTGGTTCTTTACTTCTGCTAAAATGGTCTGATGATGGTGACTTATTAGTAGTAATGATTGGTTAATGTCACTGACAATATGATTGATACATTATCAGGCACAGGAAATTCAGGGTTAAAGAATGAACTCACTCTGAAGCCCCTTGCTTTACTGCCCTCCTACCTTCAGCTCCACTTTGCACTTTAGTTGCCATCTAATCTTCTCAGAGGACTTCTTCATTGGTGTTTTTTTAACATACCAAGATTTTGTGATAAGACAGTTCTATGCTTTAGAGTCATTCTTCCCATAAATGTCAGGGCTTATGCTTGGAATCATATGTCTGACTTGGTTAATTTTTGATATGGAGGCATGGCCCTGGAGCCAAGTTAGCTGGCAGGTGAACCAATAATTTCTGGTGTTGTTCCCAAAGTGAAAATAGACCTAATCAAATCCTATGATTAAACTTATACTAAATACTCTTAATGTTTATACTCTGTAGGCCTAACATAGGCCCATTAAGTCTAATGTAATCATTGCATAAAGTATTGTATGGACCAAACCCAAACGATGAATTCCTCCCATTTATATATTGATCCAGGCCTAAGCAAATAGGCCATATATGCTGATGCCATCAGAAGTGCAAGTTTAATTAAATGTCGGCATCACGAGGAAGCTTGAGAGACAGTGTGTTGACATTTGTGCCTCAGGGCCATGAAAAGCACATCAAGAGTGCTTGCTATAATGCTGCAGCCTTTCTCTTTGTTCTCCTGGCTCTGCTGGTTGGTGTGGCTGTGTTCTGTGTGCTCCAGCCCTTCCTTCGCCCTCTCCTCTGGGCTGCATTGTGTGGGAGCTTCCTCCATCCTGTCAAGGAACAAGCGGCCGTGTTGATGCGGTCGTGGCTCGAATATCTCAAGGATTCTGGGATGCCCCTCATCCTGGGAACCATTGGGATACCATTTCTTGCCACTGATCTTGCCCTCCACTCTGTGTCATTGCAAATTAGCAAGCATTGGTGGACTGTTCTTCTTGTGCCTTCCACTTTTCTCATTTTCTTCTTCCTGTATTATGTAACTCCTGCTGCCTTGCTGCTCTGGTTTTGGAACACAGTCTTAGAGACAGCAAATATGATGAGTCCAGTCATGGTGAGTATCTGTATAGAAGAATTTGAAGCCTCACATATGCAGTTAGAGCATTTGATCCCAAAGCCTAAGCTGATTAAAACCTATGAAACATGGCAACTATCCTATTTTAGGATGGGGAAAGCACTTATAGAATTGGGATAGAGAAAAAGTCATTTTTCTATGTACCAAAGTTACAGAACATGGAAAAGAGATTGATATCACATTAACATGGATGAACCCTCACCCTTCTTTACGATGAACCCTCACCCTTCTTTACATCTGCAATATGCAATTAAATTAGATTGGGGACATCATTGCCCCAGTTCAAGGAACTGGTGAAAAGATTATTTCTTGATGTGAGAGAGGGAGCAGTTTAATGTACGTATATAAAGGCATTCCTATATGGTAACAAGTACACAAAAACCAATGTGGGATGGCTTATGTGGATAATAATGATGTATAAACAATTTTGAACACTAAATGAGGGCAAAGAAAAAGGTGGAAAACAATACTGCTTTAAGTATGGGTGTGTATGGGTTTTTGGCTTGCTCAAGATTCTCCGATTCACTAAGTATCTAATTTGTTTAATGTAGTCTTATTACCATCCATTCATTATCTATCTATCTATCAATCTCTTTTTCTTTAATTACTGATGTCATTTGTGCAGCTTCCATTTCAAATAATATCTGATAACCACCTGGATATTTCACATCTTGAAACTGACTGCTGCTAATTCTTTGCTTAAAATTCATTGGGTGAGGATCTTGGAGTATTACAAAATTGGATGCATTCACTATTTAGTGATAGTTCATTTGTTTAGAACTAAGTACCCCAGTAATTCAGGTGTGATTGATTGTGTTATTTCTCTCAGCATCTCAGTGTTTGAACTTCAAATAGAAAATATGTGTGGTATCAGCTACAATTTTACGTGCCCATGGGTTATAACATTGCTTATGCCATTTACATACATTTTAAAAAGTAATGAGCACAGCACTGCCTGCTGAGATACATCATAATTACATGTGCAAGTGTTATTCTATATTTCTATATGTTTACACATGTCTTTTGTATATTGTAGTCTACAATTGAGGTAATTACAAGTCCATTGCATGTGGAATCATCTAGAACCATTTTTTCCAGTTTCTCTTATAGTTGTCAATGTAGTACCATGCTACAAGCTTTCCTCAGCTTAATGATTTGTCTGTATTATTCTTGTCTCATTCACTTACATTTTTGTAGGCAATAGAATTTTAATGCAGCATTTGTACTTCTACTTTCCATAAATTAGAATTTGTTACAGCTTGTTGTAAACAAAAGCAGATATGAGTCATTAGTTTGTTGGATTCCTTTCATTATGAATTGTTGTTACTCTGGTTACCTTCATTCTCTTTGGGAACATGTCTTACTGCACTGATAGAGCAATAGCTTTTTCTTTTTTTACCCTTTTTGTTGCACAAGGTGTTCCTGTAGTGATCCAGGACTTCACCGTCACTTTGTTTTGTTTTGTTATGCTGGAAGTCATAAAAGTTGTTTATATGCCTGAATTTGTCAATGAATACATATAACATGTCATTAATGTAATTTATTCAAGTTTGGCGTGGCATAGAATTGATCCACTGGGTAGTGTTCAAGTCTACTGTCAACCCTTGATATACAGGTAAATACCACTGTTGGCCATTGCTGATTTTGGCATTGTATCAACTGAACTGCAGTATGCTAGTGCCTTCAATGCTGAAATAGCCTGAGGGAAAATTGAATAAGTGGATGTGAAGTTTATACTGCCATCTGGACTTCCTCTGATCCTCCAAGTTTGCCCCATGCACTATTTCTTCAATAGCTATGAGTCACTTTGCATGATAGCAAAATTTATTTAGTGGTATACCACTAAATAAATTTTGCTATCATTACATATATTGTATACATACAGTACTTGGTAGAAATTACAGCACATATATACAGAGTCCGCCAAAAAAATGCATACACACTTCAGGAAAAGAAAAACTTGTATAAATATTTTAATACTAAATTTATTCAGACATCATGAGATTAATGCAAAGTTACCTTTGGCCTCTACAATTACAAGAGGAGCTCAAAGTGGTGGCCATTAGCTTCCAGACATTTATTAGTATGGCGAACTGCTGCTTGGGCAACCTTGGCCAAAGTGTCCAGTGGGATTGCTGTACATGCATTTTCAATTTCTTCTCTAAGGGCTGCCAGTGTAGTTGGTTTTCTGCGATATACGACATCCTTTATTGGCGAACTGCTGCTTGGGCAACCTTGGCCAAAGTGTCCAGTGGGATTGCTGTACATGCATTTTCAATTTCTTCTCTAAGGGCTGCCAGTGTAGTTGGATGAGAATTTGCAAGGACACTGGCTAGGACGAAGAGGTGCAATTGAGTTCCCCGCACGTTCTCCTGATTTAACACCTGCAGACTTTTACCTATGGGGGAACCTAAAGGATGTCGTATATCGCAGAAAACCAACTACACTGGTGGCCCTTAGAGAAGAAATTGAAAATGCATGTGCTGCAATCCCACTGGACACTTTGGCCAAGGTTGCCCAAGCAGCAGTTCGCTGTCTAATAAATGTCTGGAAGCTAATGGCCACCACTTTGAGCACCTCTTGTAATTGTAGAGGCCAAAGGTAACTTGTATTAATCTCATGATGTCTGAATAAATTTAGTATTAAAATATTTATGCAAGTTTTTCTTTTCCTGAAGTGTGTATACATTTTTTTGGTGGACTCTGTATATCTATATATATGCTAAATGATGGAAAATCAAGAGGATTTATATAGGAAGAAGTATGTTTGTGAAATGTTTGAGTTAGCAGGTGGCTGATGACAAAGGTGGTGTTGTAATGGGGAATTGCCTTTGGTTAGCTTTTGAAGAAGGTGCTCACTCAGGAAAGATTTGGCAATAAGCAAGAATGGCAGTATATCAAGGGTTGACTATATATTTTTAGATTCATTAATCATAGGGCAGGTATTGGCACCAATTAAAAAAAATGCATTTGGTGTACTACAAACTAAAAACATGGCTATGATCACACTCAAATATGTCAATTTGGAAATTCCAGCAATGTACTAATTGTAGTTGTATCTCCAATGAGTCAGGAATTAGACGCTATTCATGGTACCTCTTGTATAGATGGAGTTAAGATCTTATTCACATTCTACATACTTGCTACTGAAGCTAAGTTAATATCAGTTTTTCCTTTCATGACTCCCTTTATAAAATCTTGGAAATTGTAAGCTAATCTGCTTCTCATATTACTGACTGGGCCTGAATACCACTATGAGAGCTTGATTACATTTTCCTTGCTCACCCCATTTTGGGATCCATGTTCAAAGATAATGAAATATTGGAATCTTTTATCCTGCTGGGTTGATAACTTTTTTCCTATAGGGACTGACGTTGGCAGTGAGCAATCTGGTGTTTGGTCTCCTGGCCCCTGAAGCTCTGTACATGGCTGCACAGCCCATCCTCCCAGGCGTTACTATAATCACGTGGGTTGTGTGTGTGGGGTCTCTGTTCAACTCACTGGGTTCTTGGCAGATGCCCATCTTCATAGCCACTGTCTTTTTCCTGATCCTGGGAGCAGTCTCAGATGCCATGGCTTGGGCTGTCGCTGGCAGACGTAAGTTGCCACACGTGATCCATACCATCCAAAGGCCTGTAACTATGTTCTGTTTATTAACCACGCTTGTAAACCATTGGCAAATTTTGCACACTTTCAGATGTTCAGTCTCCAACACGTGAAGTCTTTAAGCGAGAGAAGGAGCATCTAGAAATAAAGGTGAGTGAAAACTTTTATGTTGGCGTTCAAGTTTTCTTATTTAAAAAATATCAAGATTCTTTCTAGCCAACTTTCATTTGCTGGGTGAAAATAATCATGGAGCATTTATTCTAAATATATGCTTCTGGTTGCCAAACCTTTTTCTTTATCTGATGAAATGTTTTAAATGATCAAAGTAGGTTTATATCTGCTTCATTCATTCTGTCAACGTGTATGTTTCCATTGGTCCGTCATTTGCAAAATTTTATTGGACTCAGTTTGAAACTAATATTTTTCAAATTTCATTAGTGGGATGTTCATTTGACTGGGCTCTATTCAATGAAAGTTTTACTTTGATACATGATGCAAATATTGTAAGATGTAGATAATATTCACTGGAACTATTTCATTAAATATTAGTCTGATGAGAACCTCTTCTCTCTTTTTCTTTATATCAGTATGCTGAGCTTCAGCTTTAAAATTACTACGATCAGGAAATTTTCATGGCCCTGGTATGGTGATGATGTCAACAAAGAGTTTTTAAATAAATAAATTAGGTAATGACTGTTACAATGCCACTACTGTTCTGGCAACAGCTGAAACAGTGCATGAAAGTGTCCTTTGTGTGAAGAAGTGGATATGGTGATAGAGTACAGTATGTGAAGCTACAATGGCCAATGAATCATGAGTATCCTTGTGCATTGATAGAAGTCACAAGTGATATTCTCATGCATGATGGCACTGCCTTTTATGAACACGACTGTTGATAGTGAATTAGTTTCAGTTCCAAAACAGGATATGCATGAGTAATGAGTTATTTTGCAGATCAGCTTGAAGGAGGCATATAGAAAACATAGGGGCTTCAGTTCCTTATGAAGCATTGAAATATAGTAAGTTGAAATACTTGATTGTGTTGTGCCATTCTCAATAGCCTTCCCCTTGAGTGGACACTAGCTTGGTTTGTAGCATATTCCCTGTGATCATTGCTCTGTGACTGGATGTATGCTAATTTGATTCTTGGACAAGCAGGGAAGTTTGGTCTGGCATTTATGATCATCTATGAAATGAGTGATGGTAGAGGGAAATTCCAGTTTTGTTCTGTCTTGATTGTGGTACCTATATCATGCATATGGCATAAGGTTTGAAGTGCACTTGCATCATGTGATCTTGGAAACCCTGAAATGATCTGCTGGCATTTGTTTCCCTCACATGTGATTCCTGAAGCCCAACCCCATAATTCAGATTTTTGTTGGATCTTTTCCAGCACCCTTGTAACCCTCCTAAATGTTGTCATCTAGCAGAAGGTTTTGAGTCATAATGGGCTTAGTTTTCATGAAATTCCTAACATCAAAACCTTAGCATTTCTGTGGAATTCTTTTCAAGATGTCAGTTCAGTATTTTTATTGCAGTAAGAAATCAGGTATAATTTTTCTGTTTCTGTCTCTACTCTCTTGCTTCTGAATGTTATTTGAAGTTTTAGTAACTTCTTCAATCTACATGTTTCATCACCTTCTATGTCATATGATCGGAGTATTTCTCCCCTTTCTGAAACTTGTAATATAGATCAAAGTCACGGCTCATCATGCATGGACCCGCATGAAGCCTTTTCTCGAGTATATGTCTCGGCCAGCCTTGTCCCTGATCTACCTCGTGCATTCGGGTGTGGTGGCTCTTCACTTGCGACTCCTCCAGAGTAAGAGAGTTGCAGGGCATATCCCTGTCCGCCGATTCACAGTCCATGTCCCCAGTCGCATGGTTCTGGAAAAGCTGCGCCGGCTCTCAGACGAGCTCGAGGGCCCCCTGCCGAGCCGGCTGGCCTTCATTGGTGCCCCCCTTGCATTCATTCGGCACAGGTTCAAGAGGGGGAGCTTGACTGAACGGCAGAGCAGTCTCTCCACCATCACAGAAGAGAACCCTAAGGTATCCCATGAGGGACTGCATGAACGGACTTTCTGTGTCCATGTTCCAAGTCCATCTCGATCAGAGGATGTGGCATGATCCTGACCGAGACCAGCAATAAGGCCATTGATCAAAACTTGCTAAAATCCTGTGTAGATGTAGGATGCTTACTTAATGAGATTGTAGTTTAATTTTATCATACGGGGTATCCCAGAAAGAGTTACCCATTTGTATTTCTTGAATATACTATACACACAAACTATCAGTTGAAACTCATATGGAACAGAAAGAGTAATCTTTGAAGTTTTGTTTAATGCTCAACATGTACACCTTCCCCTTCAATACACTTCTGGAGACATTGAATGAAGTTGTCCATAACTTTTGAACAGATGCAGGTGATATGCTCTGAACTGCAATAATGATGTGATCTCCTAGGTCATCCAATGACTATGGGGGCATGGCATTGACAAAACCTAGCAAAAATTATCACAAGGTGTTAGTTTGGGGGATCATTGGTATTCTTTCTGTACATTCACCACACTTTCATAAACTTCCATCCTCACTGTTATCCTAAGCCTTTCCTCCAGACTCAGGTACCCAGACATGGTTCACCCTGAAAAGAGAAGGTTTTTAAAAGTGGACAAGTTGTATGTCAGGTAAAACTTCAAGGACCACTCTTCTTATCCCATATAAGTTTAGACCAAAAGCTTGTGTGTTGGGTGTATTCAGGAAATAAAAATGGGTACCCTCTGGGACACCCTGTATATTAGAAAAGGAATAGTGTAGGGGCCAAATACTATAGGGAAATTGATTTCCATCCTTTTTATTTAGCAATTAAAACAGTTAATCATGGAATAGTATGAAATATTGCATTTGAAATCTCCCAGTTTTTGCCACTTAGTCCCAGAACACATATGGGTGCCACAATTTATTTCTGTTGAGGTACTTGTGATGATAAAACCAGCAACCCACAGACCACAGTGATGATGACCACAGTAATAGATGCCTTGTAATGAATTCCATTTGGTTGAGTTTAGGAAAGCTATGATATCATGTGACTTGTAAGTTTGGCTTAGATTTCTACCATTATTTGAGTTTGCTAAAAATTAAAATGCCTTAAGACTCAATGAGACTTGAGGTGCCCAGGATGATGTATCAAAACCCTTGTATCTTTATCATTTATGAGAGTGCTAATTTGAATTCTTTACTGCTGTGATTCGCTGTTACTTTTCAGGAGTTTGGTATAATTTTGTGAGCAATACAAATGTGTTAAGTATGCATTTCTGTACTTGATCTGGTCAAGTGGCCTTGCATTCAGCTTAGCAGAGATCAGCCTTGACAAGGATGAGAAAGTGGATGCTGTGCATGATACACTCATGCTTTCTTCCATTAGTTGTGTGACAGTTGTCTAAATGAGAAAGCCTGTATGTTGTCCTGTATGCTGATTTGTGTAATAATCCCAAAATGTATGCTGTAGCATTCCTTCTATGATCACAACACTGATGATTTTCTTCCCTTGTTCAGCTTTCATGAATGTATATGAAAGTTTCTTCTAATTGTGAAGCAATGGCACAGCACTTATGGTCATATTTTTTGTCACAGTAAACTGAAGGGATGAAAAGTTTCCTAAAGTAGGATGGATATATCTATGAATCAAACCATCTAAGCTCTATTGTGGATGCACAATGATTGGAATTGCTCTTGAGAATTATCTCAGTGGAGTCTTTGGCCTGAATTATGGATGGCAAAACTGCATTTTTTGAACAACATTAACCACTTCAGTGGTTCATGTTTAATCATTTTTATTCATCAAGGTGAATTCATTCCATCAAGGTGAATTGCTCCTTGGGGGGGGTTGGCATTTTTTTTTGTCCTGTTACATTTTCGAGTTTGAGTTCAATATGAATTTGAAACTTGAAATGGGAGTATAAATTTGAGAAAGAGTGGTACATTTCTTATCCAAACTTGAATTCTTATTCTGAAGAAAATCATTTCTGACTCCAGTGGTAGGCCTCTGTCCTAGAAATTCCCCACTTAAGGGGTTAAGGAGGCTGAATGGTATCATCTGACATGTCTTAGTTTGACTTCCAAAAGGAGGCTGTTAGACTTTTAACTATTTATGAACCACCTCAAATTTAATTCTTCCTATTTTGTCTGCCACCAACTACCAACAGCAGAAGGTTGAAAATGCACATGCAGACACTCTCAAATTCCCTGCCATTTCTTATAACAGAACTTTAAATTTCCTGATTGGCAAGGTTGAAGCTAGGTGCCAAAAACATGTGCATTGAAACCTAAATATACAGAGAATTATGCAAGATGTTGAAAAGGGGTTCTAAGCAAGTGTTTCAAATGAACTCTTCTACAGCTATCAGTTTTCATTTTAAAAAACCAGATATGGTGGAGCTTACCCTATGGATAAATTAAGGTGGAATGGTCCACCTTTCTTTTCTTGGTCCCCCTTTTCTTACTTCTGGTGAATCCATTTGGAACAAAAGAAATATACTTTTAAATGAATCAGAAGTTTTGTTCGAAAAAATGTAAATATACAGGATGATACAAATAAGTTTTATACATCTGAGATACATTGCCTTGAGACAGTTGAAAGCCTCAGGTCTTTGGACTCAAGTTGAGGTGAGGCATCCTGTTTGGGGGTATGTTATATGCCCTGAATTTCAGTGAAGCCAAAATGGGGAGGGATTCTCCCTCTCAGTTTCTGCATATATGCTTAGGACTTTTTTCTTTCCCTTAGGAGCCAAAATCTGAGTTGAGCATCCTGCAGACCTCTGTGGGAGATTTGAGGTCCCCACTGTCCAAAGCGGTTCAGTCCACACCTGTTTCTGGTGGGCCGACAACAATCCAGGAGACCCCGATGGGCCCCAAGAAGCAGAAACCCATCAATGGGGAGGAGGGAAGTCCAGGTGCATTCCAGGCCAAAAAGGAAGAGGGGGACTCCTATCTTGTTGGAGTGATCTGGGCGACAATCCTTGTTCAGCTGTACAAGTATCCCTGGCTCCTTCAACTCCTTCCTCTCCCTCTTGCCTATTACTTGATCCGGAAGGCAGGTGAGCAGGAGGGTTTCTCTATTGATTGAGTGGAAAGTTTTTTCATGTAATTTTTATATTCAAAGGCCAACCCTTTAACAGTGTTCCCATAATCAAGATGGCTCATGCAGACTGGTATCTTTTCAGGGAGTAGATTCGGTGTATGGGTGTTCCTAAAGGATCAGGGAATGAGTGCTGTGAAGCGTACCCAACGGTGGATTCAGACGAGGCAGCAGAGTGTTGCTCCATCTGTCATCCGTTGGGCGTGGCACTCTCTCCTCACGGGGGATCGGGCTGTCATTTCTCTGCTTGAAGGATATGTGGACACTGTGGCCAGCGTCTTTGTCATCATATTCATCATCTTGGGCTTCATGGTTGCCATAGTCATTGCCACACTACAGGTTAGTAATTCCATTTTTTTTTAATTCTTGGGTATCATTGTCAGATACAGGACTTTTCAAGTTTTCTGTAACTTCAATTACTACTTGTCTAATGATTAACGTGAATCATCCTCTTAATACCTTTAAGTTTCTGACGTAGCCCATTTCTATTTGGTGACCTGAAAAAAAGAAGTCCCTATCTTTGTACAGAATCATGATACAGAGCTTTAGCAAGTTTGGATTTTTGAAAACATTATTCTGAATGAAATGTAATTTTTCTCTTTATCTTGAAGCAGAAACACGATGTGCCCTGCATTCTAGATGATGGACTGTAATCAATCATGCCACTGTCCAACAACATGCTAGTGTAGGAAATGGTTTGTCAAGAATGGACAAATGTTGTTTTCAAATTTTCAATGCACCAGATTTTATTTGGTGAATTTCTTACTACATACCATGTACAAAATCAATAGGGTCTGCTTTGTCTCAAACACTGTTGTCGCAAGGCAATTTGCCCAGCATTTGTATGTTGCTAGATGCAAACTTTGTCTACCATTGACTAGGTGCACTGCAGCACACATTGTGAGCAACCATTGAGTGAGTGTCTGCAGAATGATATGCCAAACTTTATTGAATCTGCTGTTACCAACTGACAGCCCTAATTCAGACTAAGTTGATTACTTTGGGGCAGGCTAGGAAAACCCTTGCGAACCTGCAAACGAGGTTCGCAGGAACGGAGACATGTGGGCAGGTGGCCCGCTTAGTCCGCTTGCCTATCCTTCCCAGGAAATTCCAATTTTTCACCTCAGATTCATGGGAAAAATATATATATTTCTTACACTGCTTTGGGGTGTGTTGACAGAAAAGGTACTATTAGGAAATCCAGAGGATTTAAGATTTGATGATCAAGATATTTGGGTAGCCATTTTCCTTGCTGATTGCTGTACTCAATTGGACAGTGGAACACTCTATCACAGGCTGCTGTAAATTGGAATGGGGTACTTATTGAGGTTTTGTATTGAGACGACTAGAAGTTGTGTTTCATTTTCAATAATGTTTTTGTTTCATGGTTGCCACTGAAAACACTTTTTATGACCTGCTTGCATAGAAATGTTTGAGTTGTAAAGGATTGACATTCTTTGCATAAAAAGTGAAGTGCCATTGGGATTGTGTTCATAATCCCACATGAAAAAGTAGGTGCAGGAGTTTCTTCTTATTAGAAGAAACTCTTGCTCCTTCTGTACTGTTTGTGCTAAAATATATTTTGCTTTTGGTTTATTTTTCTTGAATGCTAGGTGTATGGGGAGGGGATGTACCTGGTGGGAGTGACAAGCAACTTCCTCAATTCTACAATGGCTGGGAACAAGTTTTTCCCTGATGGCTTCCAAGAAACTGTCATTCAAACCACCAACTCACTCCACACATATGGACGGGATTACCTGTCACATGTGGTGAGTTTGATCATGCTTGTGTGTTGTGAGCTCAGTGGTTGATGTTCTTGCATTTGTCTGCAGGTTCAAAGCCTGAGGGGTGACTTGAATGAAATGAAGTCCATGGAGCTTGAAAAGCAGGTCCTGGAGTTGTGGGACAAGATCTACGAGGAGTATGAGGGTTTTGTCAGCATGAAGGAGGACTATACCACGTTCCAGTGGGGGGAGATTTCTAGTACTGCCCAGAAGATTCCAAGTGGGTTTACGCAATTCCCTTTTGGCATTCATTATGCTGAGAGGACCTATTGCTACATAATATGGAGCAAAAATGTGAATCTCTAAAGATGTACATAGTACTGTGAATTTCTTGAAAAGCAAGTGACATTTTTCTATTGATAGGTTATTGAAGTGAAATTAATTGGGATTTTTTTTCATGTTAAGTCTCAGAGGTGATGAATGTGACGAACATGATCCAGTTCATGAAGAACAATGTGGACATGGTCCAATCTATTTTGAAGAGCTTATGGACAGTGGTGGTGGGGAATGTGAGCTTGGCATTCAGTGCCTTTGCCTCCATCATCAACGTGGTGTTTGGTGGTGGAAGTGCCATCCTCAACTTTCTAATCAATCTGGTGGGTGAGCTCTTTGGACCATGTTAACCATTTTAATGCCACAGGATCTATATACTGTATAATCAATCATATAGATCTGGAACTAAGCAGATTAATATTGAACTTGTGAACTCCCATCAAAAGTGCTCTCTGGAATGTGACCTGGATTTCTTTTGGCAGATCATCTTCTGCAGTTCACTCTTCTACCTGCTCAGCTCAAGTGGAAGACTGTACAAGCCTGTGGAACTTGCTGCTTCCTTCTCTTTAGGCAGTTCCAGTGTCAAGTGGGTTTGGTTCATAAAAGTTCCAAAGGATTTAAGATGAACTTTGTTTGCTTCTCAATGGTCCAGTGTCTAAATTCCAATTTCTTCCAACCGCTGCTGAATTTCTGGAGACATATCTCCCCAAACATTTTACTAACAGATGCCCCACTTTATGGGGTGATTTTGAAGTAAATATCCAACTTCAAATTTTTAATATGCCTTGGCTGTGTATTATTAGATGGAACCATCACTGACACATGACAAGTGGCACATGGAAAATAAGTTACACCCACTGGTCTCTTACCAGTAGTCTGAAGGGGCATTCTTTATTTATAATCACCTTATAACGTTAGCAATACTAATGTAGATGTAATACTTCCACTTCCTTTGATGTCTTCTCTCTTTGTATTTTTGTCATTGTTCTTATATTCAAATATGTCAAAGCAATCTCTCTGTTGAAGATTTGGTGTGGCAATGCGCAATGCCATCTCGGGTGTGTTTCTGGTTGCTTTCAAAGTTGCATTGTTCCATGGCCTTTGGACTTGGGTCATCCATGAATTGTTCAACCTTCGTCTTGTCTTCATTCCTTCAGGTATGAATTTCCTGTTGACTCCTTTTTATTCTCTGCAATTAACTTCTTCATGATCATTTTTTACTGAAATGTGGAAAATGTATTTCAGTATTGGCAGCTGTGTTGGCTGCCGTTCCCCTGCTTGGGACATACTGGGCGGCCATCCCAGGTGTGATTGAGCTCTGGGCCGTGAATGGCTGTCGCTCGGCTGCTCTGCTCCTTTTTGCCTTCCAACTGCTTCCCACCTATTTTGTCAATGACACCTTATATGGCAGCATTGAGGGGTGAGTGGAGGGTACTTCTGATTCAGTGTACATGTAATTGTTATTTCATCTCTCAGTACTAGAGCTGTTTAATAAGAATGAGTAGGAGGTGTTAGAAGAGGATTCTTTCATTACTGATCCATAACTTTACTGAGTTCAGAAACTTTTAGAGTCTTAAGGAAGATAACTTTATGTTACAGCATGTTTGAGGTATGGGATGTGACCTTCTGGTATAGTTACACCTTATTTCTCATATTGTCGTGAGAAAATGTCAAAGGGCATTAGCATGTCAAGAAGTTTTGCATTAGTAAAAAAAAAGCCTGTGAAGTAAGCTTTAATTCCTTGTATCAAAAATGGATGAAGTTCATGAGATTTGAATGCTTTCCTTTGAATCTTATAGTGGAGCACACCCATACATCACTGGCCTGGCTGTGATGGGTGGAGTCTTGGCCTTGGGTGTTGAGGGAGCCATTCTCGGCCCTGTTGTCCTCTGCACCCTCCTCATCGCCATCAGTGTCTATCGTTCCATCATCAAAGACTCTCCAAATGATCCTTCCGTGTTCCCCCATCGCAGTCCCTTTCACAGGTGTGTGAGTTCTGCAACATTTGATTAATTGAGTCATCAATCTTTGCTGTGCTTGGTTACCTTGTTCACTCTTATTTCTAATGTCAGTTGGGAATGAGCACATTGAAAGTTACTTTTCATGTTGACCTTGAACATTGTGCATGCTACTGAACCATTTCAGAAGTGATATCAATCAAAAAGCACTGCACACTCAACTCAAACTTCAGATGTTCAGACCTTGATGCATGGATTGGTCTTTCAATTGCAGGAGTTTCAGCACAGTGACCGAGAATGTGGGAGCGTCATCCAGCTGAACGTTGCTGTCCCTTCCTCTACTTGCCCTCAGGTGACGTCTGTGATCCGTTTCATCTCGACTCGACTCGGCCGGTGATCGTCTGCTGCTTCAGATCTGCTCCATTCTGAGGGAAAGAAATACAGTGCTGAAAATTGCTTGCAGTCCAAGATAGATGTATTGTATCTGCTTGTTTCTCATGTCACTCACCTGTGATGCTACGTTTCTTTCAGGATTTTTTTTTGCTGTCCTAATCATGGAGCTTACTTTGTCAGTTTATTCACAGTTGGGTTGTTTTCAGCCCGATTGACATTTTGGAGGCAACATATGAAGTTGGTGAGTCATTCTGGATAGAAGGTCTGTGATGTAGTGAACATACCAAAGGAATTTTTTCAGAGAGTACAAGAGAAAAAGTATTGTGGAACTTTTCAAGGAGTTTCATATTTCATAGGGTTTCCCGTATATCTCAGAAGCTGACGCATTTCTCTGAAGGTTGACGCAGTTTTGTCATTTGTGTAACTTTGCGACATTCTTGCCATGCCAGTAGCCAAGAAAAAACCATCTCAAATCTGTCTTATTGAATACTGTGGATCTGAGTCTCTTGAATGTTTTTTGGTTGATGGAAGACAAGTCTGTCCTATTTCAGAATCAAAATAATCGGTGTCTTTAGCTGTGATAGCATCAGCTTGTTTACTTTTATCTAATTTGATGTCTGTTCTCAGAATAAAATGCTTTAGCAAGACTTTTTAGGTGTTTTTTTTTAACATGAAATCAATCAGCTGTGTGATTCCTGGAAACGCTGGAAAGTGTGAACGTTTTGAAATTCATACTTCCAACATTTTCTTTCCCTTCAGTCATGGAAGAAGCTGTGAGAAGCGATGAAACATGCAATAGTTCTACTCCAAGTGACGTTCTGTGGCCCATTTGCAACCCGAAACAATTTCTGATCTGTGTGCAGTTTTTTCGTTAGGTTAGGTGATAGGGATAAAAAAAAATGTATCCAATTTCACCGTAAGTGTCGCCTCCGGCTGCCACGTGCCAAGTACAGCGACACTACTTAAAGGCGGCCTGGAATATTCTTCGTTCTTTTCTCAGTCTTTGCTCGGGATTTCTTCCCACGATGAATGCAAATGACACAGAGAAGCTCTCTTCATCGCCTTCGGTCCGTCGAGGAAAAGTCACACATTTTGTATGATTCTTGCTAAATTCTTCCCGTTGAAAGTGTGCAGCAGGCAGCGTCTGTAACGCTTCAGCTTTGGTTGGTTTTCCATTTTTGTGTCTCGTTGCTTCTTGGGGGGGGGGGAAGGGTGACCCTCAAATTAGCATCAATTAATGTTATATAATGTTAATCAAGACTGACGGACTCCGAATCATCCCGAATTAATTGGTTCCAGTGACCGAAGTTCTTTCCAGAAACGAGTCTAATGTCCTTTAAGAACACATGGATTCCTTCGGGAGGAAAAGTACTCTTTAGCTTAAAGGGCCCTTTATCTCCCCTAAATGAGGTGTGTGCATTCGGATCTTCGAGTGAAAATGTTGTTAGTTTTGATTTTTTTGTGAGAGAATGTGTCTGCCATTGCTAATCACGGAAAGTATGATATTAGACAATCATGTTTTTTACGGTTGGGGATTGTTTTTGCATTTTTTAAATGATAAATTTGCATAAATTAAGAGAAAGTATAAGTCCGTAGCATCTCACACTGAGGTCGTGTCAGTTGATCCTGGAGTCTCGTCAAAACTCGGGCACGTCTTCGAAGAGCCAAATAAAGGATGGCGATACTCGGTAATTACCTTTTCCAATAATGGGAGCATGGAATCAGCTCGATGACGGACATGCAGATGGATCCCACGGTTTTTCTCTCTTCGTGTGTGGCCCGGGGTGAAGGGGGGATCTTCAGGTCGCAGAGAAACAGTCTCAAAGTTCCCGAAGTATTTCAATAATTCACCGTCAATGCGGCGCTGTGCATGCAGATGGTATGGGCCACTTACATACCGGACGGGGGTGAGCAGTTGCTTTGGTCTGTATTCATTCCCTTCTCGGCACGTGTCCGCCGATGTTCAGTGCCCTGCGTCCAAGTTCATTCCGAGGGGAAAACAGATAAAACATGGAGTTAGAAGCTGAAACCCGGAGGGAAACCCACGCAGGGCAAAAAAATATCGAGACATATCTTTAACATCACGACCTTGTCTCCTTCCAGCCGGATGGCAACTGAAAGAACTGTGGGCATGGAGGCCCATCGGAGGCCCTCGTCCATCCCTCGACTCGACGCTGACGTCGAGTCGAGGGATGGACGTTCGCTCGTCTCGCTCCTCGCACGTGTGCTAAGTCGAATGCTGCGTGGTGATTGGACGGTGGTGAGGTCGAGGTGTTCCGATTGGTCGGAGTCGCTCCAGGGCGAGAATGGCTGCGGCACCCGGGGAGCCTTTCTTTCTGCTGTGGAACACGTGTCTTTCTCTCGAGATTCCTACTTGTTTCCATCCGAATCCATCCATATCGCTTTGCAAGAGGTGAGTTCCATCTCTCTTATCCATTTCATTAAATTCGCACCAAGAAGGAGTGTTGGAGCCAGACGAAATCTAAGACAGAGACGGAAGGCCGGGTCACAAGGTACGAGGCGGCTGCCCGCCAGGCCGAGTAGAGCCCTCCTCCTTTTTCCCCGTCCACTGTTGCATGACGAGGTGATGAATGAGTTGAACCGCGCAGCGTTCTTTTCGTCGCGCGAGTCCCCGTCTACTTTCCTCTTTCGAGGAACATTAACACATCCCCAGCCGTAAATTGATTTCTGCAGGCCGACGTGACACCGCGAGAAAAGCGCGATGCATCTCGTAATGCCCAGAAAGACTGAGGGCGGAAAACCGGCTGTCGTTCCCGTGAAAAAATAGGAAACGATGCAGGGTCGAAGGCGCGGCGATCACAAAACCCACTCGGTGTATAATCACGAGGGAGAGGATTTTTAATGCAAAAAAAAAAATTTTTGCAAGCCCCGTAGGAACTTGCAACCCCGATCAGTAGAAGAGTAAGCGATCGATGCCATTTTAGAAAAGCATCTTTTACATTTCCCCAATTTTTTTTCCGTGCCGAAAAATGTATCCTTCCAGGAAAACCGTTTTATTTGCGAGCGAGGAGGAACATTTGTTGGCAGTCGTGGGCTGCAGCAAGAATCGATCAACTTTGCCCATCTCATTTCATCGTCAATTTTGGCTATAACAAATGTAATATGTAATTCCCATTTCCGAATAATAAAAAAGATTGCGTCATAAGCTGCATATATTCTTCATGTTTTTCCACTTGAAAAAATGTGCCGCGAATTTAATGCGTGCAATCTCGTCAGCAAATTTTGGCGGAAAATGTAAGCATAGATCCTTGCCCCGTTACAGACGCCGTGACAGGCCGTGACAGACCTCGTCGGCGAAATGCAGCGTCCCCGGATTGTTCACTGGTTCCAGCTCGCAATCCCGTCGCCTCCATTCAGCGGGCAAGAAGCGGACGGGGAGGCACGAGGGCATGCGGACGGGGAGGCACGAGGGCATGTGGACGGGGAGGCACGAGGGCATGGGACGGGGAGGCACGAGGGGATCCGTCGGGTGAGGCGACCGATTTCCTTCTTGGCGACGGGCGTTTTTCGTGCCTAAGGCTTTAGGTGATGATTTCCTGATTTGCATGCAAAATGTTTGTGCCTGTTATGGGGGGATTTGATGGTTCGAGAGTCTCTCGTGCGTAATGGGGAGTCTTTCAAACCGAAGGCATTTCCTCCCACTCGTTTTTTTCCAAGCCGGATTTTTGAACGACGGAGAGATTTCGCGACTCGACCCTTGCTTCTCGTCGAGTACTGGATGCTATTCAATGTTGGGAAAAAAAAATTCTGAATTAATGTATTGTCCCTTTGAATGAATCTGTCTGTGGAAATACTTTTTAGAATATCCGTCTGGAGGGTCCGCGACGCCAGACGCAAATTCACTTTCGTATAGGGAAATGTGTGGTGCACCATTCAGTTTTTTTAGATTTTGAGTCCTCGAAGCTTCTGTTTTGCCGTAAACTTTCCAGCAAATTTTTTCCAAGTTTCTGTGGACATGACCCACGATGCCCCACCCCTGGGGCACGATGGATCATCCCCAAGGGGAAGACGAACGTGGGGCACCACGAACCGTCTTGCTTCGTTGCGTCACGTCTGTTGCATCTTCATGCTGCTTTCGACTTCCGAGCGTCTTTTCTTACTAGGAGAACTAAAAGGTGCTGCTTCTTTTTATTTTTCTTTTTCTCGCACTCGTGGCCTGTTCATCCTTCTTTTCTTGGACCAGCATTTTCTTTATTTAAAGATTAGTAACAACTGCGGGATGAAATGATATCCCAGGCAGCACACCACGTGGGGCCCACGTTCACCGTGAATGGGGGGCGAGGGAGTGGGAGGGGCGTTAGTCGCAGTGGGCTCTCCTTGTAGGCCCCACTTCGGCGCTAGGGAGGCTGCTAACATGCATCCCAAACGTGAGCAACCTATTCATCTGAGAGATTCGGACGAAGCAGGTTCCCATAATGAAGCGAGATGTTCCCAAAATAATTTATACGTTTATCTGTGGTATCAGTGACTCGCATCAAGTCCTCAGTACTTTTCGGAAGGTGAAAAAAAAAAAACATGGCGCACGTGATTCGTGTCGTGTTGAGTCTGCTGGTCGTCTTTTCGGATATCCGTGGAGCCAAGAGTGCGCCCCGTCGGTTGGCCAAGCACGGTCACTCTATGATGCGTGTGGCGACATCTCGACATTCGATGAGAAACGACGGAGAGAAGCTGTGATTATCGCAGAATAAAAGGCCAGTATGTGACTCCCGATGATCATTGAAATCGAGCCGAGCTCCGGGCGTGGTAACCGAAATATTCAACGAGGTGTCTCTTCGTGCGAGTCCTGAATGTGTCATTCCAGACGTTTGTCTCAGGAATATCGCATAGGTGTTAACTGCGGTGAACAGGAAAATCACTCACTCGATCACTCGTTAGAAGAAAGAAGCGGTGGATGAATCGAGGCAATACATCTTTGGCTTCTCTGAAATGAAGAACAGACGAAACCTTTGAGGGTAACGCCCATCTCGTCAGAGCAGAACAACGTTTGGGAATCCGAGTTGATAGGGGGAGATTCGAGGGAAGAATCTGCGAGGAGGATTTTTTTGAAGAAGCAGGGAATGAAACCCCGGATGACGACGAAGAGAAAGTGCAGGAACGTACGGTACTGGAGGGTGTACGAAGGATCGGACGGAGGTTGCGCAAAAATACAACACCTATGATTATGAGGTTCTCGTTCTTTCGCGATCGGGATCGGGTTCTGCACCTTGCTCGGGAGAAGAAACTAGAGAATCTCTCGGAATATTTTCCTTCGAAAACCCGAAATGCTAGACGCGAACTCCACCATCGTACAGGCACGAGACGAGACGACTCCTCTGGGACACGACCGTCTCGTCATCGACGGACCGACGATCGGCCTCGCGAACGGAGCCTCGGAGGCAAAAACCCTCGGTGACCGGGACCAACCAGCCCCTACAACCCCTGAGGCCTCACTCGAAAGCCTGCGACGATCGAACTCCCCCAAAGTCTTCCTCGACGTGCCTTTTTTTCTGTTCGAGAGTGGCACTCTTTTCAGGCCGAACGACTCGATTCCAATCTTACACTTCGTTCAAAAACGACCTTTCCCCAATAACGGCGAGACGAATGGAAGCATTACCGGTCGAAAGCGGAATTTGTCACCATCCTGCATGAATATAGTGACCGTTCTCAGATACAAGTTGCATCGACGAAGCCGCTAATGAGTTGCTGACAGCAATGAGGAATGCGGCCTATACAAGAACATCGTCTTGCACCGCTTAGGAAACCTGAGAAGAGGAGCTTCAACGCCCG